CAGATAGCCAAGAGTCAGGTCTACCTACATGGTCAATTTCGTCTATGTCCATTTGAAAACGGCTTAAATATGCTCAAAATACTATGAAAATTTGAGGTGCTGGCCATAATTACCCCAAGTGACTCTAGAGATGTTAACTGCTCCACCAATTAACTATTTGAAAATTCCATGCTACTGGTAGTGAAAACGAAAAGTTTCACAGGCTTTCAGCTATTGATTCATAATGTCGAAGTGAAAATGTTATAAGTTTGATTTTATCTTTAATTTAGATTTATTTTTTATTTGTTGTTTGTTTTATCTGAATTATTTTTAGCATTATTCTATCTTATTTATATGATGTTATAAACCATCTTTAAATCTTAATAATTTCATTTCTAATAGTTAATTATACCGTTTATCTAAGACTAACTTTTAATTATACAAGCTGTTCAGCGTTGCCATTTTAGACATAATCTTTATCGGTATAAGCGGATTTTATCAAAACGTATGTTGGAGCAAGATGGTCAGCACAGAGTTGTAAATGACAATGTAAATACACAATTATTTTAATAACAATAAACGATACTCTTTTTGGACATTCACCATAACAAACATCATGTTCTTGAAGAGAAAACAAAAGTTAAGTTCGATACTAAAAAAGGTCTTGGTTTTTTATTCTTCACACAATTACCGTTGCTAACCACCGTAATCAGTAGAACCATAACGAACGGTGTGTATAAACAGCTTAATAAAATGCATTCTATCAGATTTCATCACTTATTACATGACTTGAAACGATTTATAATTTATAATCAAAACAAAATAAACAAACTACCAAATATAGGACAAAAAATATCTGAATAAACATAACAAATAAATAATCACCAATAAAAAATAATTGAGATTTATTTTTACCATTCTTTCTAGACAGTCGGTTTAAAATTTTGATAAAACGATTGTGTAACATCGATCATTAATTCTTTGGCTGTTTCTGGAAATTCTTCAATAAAACATGCCGGTGATCCACCATACACAGTGAACGATGGCACAACCGTTTCTGGCGGTATGACCGAATTTGGTAATATAACACAACAATCCATCAATATACATCGTCTACCGATCACGCTATTTCGTCCAATATGAACATAGGAGCCAATCGAAGCAGCGTTAATAACACAATCATCTTCAATATAGACATGATCACCAATTTGTATGGGAAAAAATGCAACACCTTTAGCAAACTTTTTAAATGGTGGACGGATAGCACATTTTTCACAAATAACGCAATTTTTCCCAATTTTTACAGCAGCTAAATCACCGCGTACAATACAATCGGCCATAACAATTGTCTTGCCTTGCAAAACAATATTTTGTGAACCACACATTATTGAGCGTCGACATACTTTGTTGCCTTTTAAAGAGAAATACACATCACAATTTATTTTATTTAGACAAAAAACGGAATGTTCAACTCACCCGAAGTTGTTTCTATAAAATCAGCTTTTTTATAAAATACCTCCGGTAGTTCCATTATTAATTTGCAAGGGTATGAATCTACAAGAGAAAAACAGACAAGAGAGTCTGCTGTCAGAAGAAAAGCCGGTAGGAGTCTTTTGCTTCCTCGATTGTTGTTAGCCTTAGTAAAGTAACTTTAAATAATCCTCTTCCGCGGCAAATTCTTTTATTCCACATTTCACATTATTGCAGCAAAAATACTGTATAAAACACAATGCTAAAGACTAGAGATCGTATTTTTATAAAAACGGAATACTTCGAGAATCAACTATTGATTAGTCCAAGGACATCAGAATTTACTCTTTTATCAGATACAAATAATTTTCGCAGCACAATCTTTATATTTGAAGTCAGTTTCAAATACAATATAGTTCATGTTTAAATATCGTTTTCAAGATAAAATTAAAAGTTATTGTCGGCAAACAAAAAGATACAATAAATGATTACAGTATAGAAAAAATTTACAAAAAATCATCCTCATCTTCTTCTGTTTGAATACTGAATATCATGCTTTTTACCTCTTCATCAATAAACTCAAAAAAAGGCACGCACATCTAAATCAATACGTAAAAACACGCGGAATAGTACGAAAATAGCTTTAAATTCGCAAAAGTGAATGATTCACTTTAGAAGTTACAAGTAAAGAAATACACCATCAGCTGTTTAGAATTCCATTATGACGGTAATTGATATTGTTTATCCCATAGTTGTAGTAGTCCAAGTACAGATGATATTGTTCCAACTAATCCTTGAAGACCAGGGTGCAATGATAAAAAGTTTAAATTCGATAATGGGAGATAAATATCACACAGGTTTTTTGTTGTATCAATCACTAATGGTTTATTATTCCAGAATACTCTGAATTTTTGAACAACGGTTTGTTTATTAGATTTCATTAACTCGTTATTCTTATACAATCCGTTAACTTCATACCAGTCTCGTGTAAGGGCTAATGATAACCATAATAGCCATACTTCATTTAAATATTTTGTATACTGTTGAGCATTCTGTAATTTAATTATTTTATATCGATTTAACAATAACAGGTTATCAAATAACATAAATAATGACTGACACACAGCAATTAGACCAAATAAGACACTCATACGCGTGTTTCGAATATGAACACTTTCTAATGCTGTTTTGATATAATCAATAAATCTGCCCAATCGCATTCCTGGAAGAAAAGTAAAAGGCAAGTATAGAAGACAGGTCAACAATTATTATGTTTGTTGTCTACATACCTTTTCGTGTTAAACTCATTGATGTTTCGATATTTTGTAATTTTTCAATTAGCCTTTCTTTTGAATTTGTTTTATAAGCATACCAAACGAGAAAACGACAGGCATATTGTAAACAACGATAAATTTTATCACGTCCTTGAGTACGAGACGTGAAACGAATGAAATCGTCGATTGCTAATTTAGAGTTAGACATCTAGGATGAAAATTATGCAAGACATGATTGATCCACACATATGTCAAGAAATAAATGATTTAACGCAGTTCTATTTTTACTTAAGAGACAGTATTCTGACTTTCAAATACCCGAGATTTTTATTTAACAAAACAAATGTCTTGGATCTAAATAAGTACCGACTTAAAGTTATTGATACGTTGGTTAGATAATAAGAATATCAACTTCAACGTTAACGTCAGGAATCGAGATTTTCAATATTACTATGTGATTTTATTCTCAAACGCACAAGGCTTAAAATCTATTCTGTTTCTTCCACTAAATAAATAATAACAGGAAAATCCAGAAACTAAAATCGCTTGCGAGCTGTAAATCAAAGTTCTTCGGAATATTGTCCCTAAATACTTTTTCAGGATTAAGCTACTTATCATTATTAAATTATGAAATACAGTAGCAACAGAATAACTAGTATGATTCTGTCGCTCTTTTTTAGTTACACTGAAGAATGGAAGTTACGAATATAAAGATTTGATGATTGTAATGAAAAAGCGGTAGTACTAAAAGGTGTGTCGCTGATGATTGGCTCATATCGATCAATAGAGCGAATTCATACGAATTACCCATCACATGGCACATCGCATTCACACACGTCAGAGACAAACGTTTATTAAAATTAAAGTGTAAATCATATTGATACCAGTGCCCAATAAAAGAAATTTTAATGAGAGCTTATCGTAACCATTTTCTTACATTAATGTTATCCAAAAGTATATGCGAATAAAGAAAATTAGCCAATAAAAAAAAGGTGTACACATGACAGTGTATACTGATAAAAAACAAAGCGTTCTGCTACTGTTTACATAGTTCCATTAATCTAAGCACAAGCCGATAAACGCGTGGGGACGCTTTTTTACTGTAGAAATTCATTTTTCAGGTGGTACACTGAGAGATCGAATCTCTAAGGTAGTACAAAATGCCTCAAATCTTCAGGTGGAGAAAGACGCCACTGTACAGAATAATAATAATTGCACCAGGAAAAATCAATCAATAAGGATGAATAGTAAATCTCATAGCCAATAACGTTCGCTCAAGAATAATAGTATCGATTACTTTACGGTTGGCAAGATGAATATTGAAATTCTATGAAAGCTCCTCGCTTTTAAAGGATTGTTTCCTCCTTTCACGAAATGATAAGAAACATTATGAAGACCCGTTGCTAGACAACTAAGAAGAACCTACAGTCATCAAGTCGAATAACTACAATCCAATGGTCGAAACTCGGCATCATCAAAAATGATCACCAAGTGGCTAGTTTCTACGCGATTTAACGTTGGCGGTAGCGATTTGGTGATGACTTTTCGTGACACCAGGTTTCCACCTAATCCAATAGAAAGAAATGGTAAATACACGAAAGTAGTTAAGAACGGGAGGAGGTACTGCCCATTCAGGTCTGCCCACTTTATACAGAACACAGGATCGCGAAGATTTCAATATGTGCATCGTGTAGAGCATAAAAAGTTAGCTCGACAACATTAGGCTTGTTTTTCAAAAAAACATGTGGAACATGGTTTTTCGGAGGTCCGAAGTTTCAGGGGTACTTTTTGGAGTTTCCTCTCAAACTCAAATAGAATCCTTGACTACCGTAGATGAAAATATAGAGGCATGAAATCTACGTAAAAGAGCGAAAGAATTAGCCAGATAGCTACCGGTGTTTCTGACCAGTGACCGGTTTACGGAAAAAAACGAAAAGTTTGAGCTCATATATCTCAAAAACTCTCCGAAAATTTTTTCTGTTTTATATTAAAATAGATAGAGCACATCGAGCTCTACAAAATGGTTGTAGTTGATTGTTCGACAAACATCGTCTTCATCGTTATCTTCAACCTCAAAATTCATAAAATATCGATCGTCTCTTTATGACTTTAAGTCGCTTTCTACTCTGTCTTTCACTTCTACTGTGACTAGATCGTTTCTTTTATCCTAAATTGTCTAATTCTAGCTGATATTAATCATAATACGCTAAAAAGAAATCACTAAGCAAATTTTAGAATATATATTCATAGAGAAGCTTTAATTGAATTTCCATTCGCTGAAATTTCAAGCAATAAACATTCCTGAAATTTTCTACAGGAAGAGAAAAAAACTATATATACTCATGAAAGTGTGTTCTTTGATCTGCTGCTATATATCAAATCAATGAATCAAAGAGAATCAAAAGTCACTAATTTTGAGGTGGGAAAAATGCCTAGTTGTAAACATCCATCTCGCCATCCACGTGTAAAACGGGGGCTTGGATTGAGTATAAGACCGTTGCCGAAGGGCCAAAAAGGAATCTCAGCTACTATGGTTAGGTCTATGAACAGAAAGTATCGTCAGGATTTCAAACGATTAGAGCAAGTGCTCAAAGAAAATGATCTTCTTTGTAACGAATGCTTTTATCGTGAACAGCGAAGGATGAACAGTAAAAGTACTACAAGTGATATAACAGGTAGTATAGCAGAAGAAGATGATCAAATAATGTTTTGAAAGAGACGGCTTCTTCTCAGTCTGAATTCGGAACTCATCAATCCGACTCTCTTCTGTCTCTACCACAAACACCGCTTAAATGTGATTTCGACATTTTTAATTCTATGGATAATCCATTACTATGGTCTCCAAGAAAAGAAGAAAAACAGTATATTTCTCTTTCACGAATGTTTTGAAAGACAAAATTAACTCTCTACTGTTGCATGTCAAATCCTTATCTAAATCATTTTCGACGGATTCTGCTTGTATCACAACTTCTGTTAAGTCTTCTATCAGTCTAGAGGACATGAACGTTCTAATAGATGGATTGAAAAAGTTATTTCTACACAGTGATTATACTGAACAAACTCGTAGTCTAACCATCTGTCCTTGTGAGTGGAGTCGTCGTAAAATGGCGGACTTTTTCGATGCAACAGAGTGGCAACTCCTCATGCTGTCCAAATACGCTATACGTACGGTCTTCTTGCAATTGAAGTTCCTC